ATAGCCAAATACATAATAATAATAATAATGTAATTCTGTACAGTATGCAATTTTATAGAAATGTGCATATTTGCATCCATTTATAAAAATGTAAAAAAAAAAAAAAAGTGCAAAGATTTTTGTTTAGATGATTAGAAGTCATTGTTTATGCATGTTTTAATAAGCAACACAAAGCCATCTGATTCATATAATGACTTGGAACATATTGCATTATGATATTTATATGCATTATAGAAGAATTTCAGTTTTTTCATTGCTTAATCTTTGAATGGTTTGTGTGATTTTTTTATTTTATTTTTTTTCTAGCCACGACGTTCTTCAATCTGATTAACCTGCAGTACAGCACGATCTCCGAGTTCTGCACAGGAGACACATGTCTGGCCATGACCGCCTGCAGCACGTGAGTATCTGTTATTCATCCATCATGAAGCCTGCAGACTCTCAGGGGTCGCAACCTCAGGGAGAGATGTGATGGTAGAAGAGCATGTTCAGTTTGATGCATGCTTTAAATGAGACGTTGACTGTTCCTGGTGAGGGGAAATTCAAGGAACCTGAGTGTCATCATAAATATACTGCTCATGCTTATGGGAAGATTCACTATCAGAAGTCTGGTTAATGAACAGCTGCTGCAGAAAGTGTGTCAGACAGACGATTGGTGGAGAGATCGACAAGGTCATGTATTTGTATTGGGAAAAGATGAGCGATTGAAGGAAAACGATGCTGCTGCACCTGTACAAGGGTTTAGATGGATACAGCAGAAGGAAAATCAACTCGATTGTGTGTTTGGCAGGACATACTACTGGCAGGATGAGAAAGGGAAGAAGACGAAATGCACAGCGCCACAGTACGTGGATTTCGTCATGAGTTCAGTTCAGAAGCTGGTGACTGATGAGGACATCTTTCCTACGAAATACGGTGAGTGAGTCTCTAGCGCCACCTAGTGATGAACGTGCAAACCGTACGACTGAAGCAAGTAGGTTTGATGCTTATTTGTGGTCTTAAAGAACATTACATTTAATTTCCATTTTGTTTATTTGAAAGCAAATGATCCATTCTAGTAGAAAACTAATAAACACACAAATGGATGTGGACAATGTTCCAAGCTACAACATTTTATGATGTTTCTGTATAATAGCAAAGATTAACTAACAATACATCTGTTACAGTATTCACATAGTTAATAAAGTACAGATTTTCATTAGTGCAATTTACATCAAGTCTGTTAAATAATAGTAACAGCTTTTTATTTTATTTTTTATGCTAAATAACATTAATAAAGCTGTTTCCATTTTTCATAATGCATTTAAGACAATTTATGGATCTTAAATATAACGTAGAAACATGCGTTTCTATAAACCTGTTTTGAAACATTATGCATTACGAAAAGCACAAAACAAATAAACGTGAATCACCTTCAGGAGCTCTTGCAGGGTTCCTGCAGTCTTGGAAATATCAGATCATTTTAAAATGATTAATGGAATTATTAATTAGAATTTGATATTCTTAGTATATAATCTTGAGATATAATTATTCTTCTAATTTCTATAGTGATAGTGAAATTATACAAATAATAGTATTTACTGGTGTCAGTAAAGATTCATTAAACTGATAAAAAGTGACAGATTCATAATGTTACAAAAGATTTCTATTTTAAATAAATGCTGCTCTTTTGAAGTTTCTATTCTGTGAATTCTAAAAAAAATTAAATGTATCACGGTTTCCACAAAAATATTGTGCAGCACAACTGTTTCAACATTGATAATAATCAGAAATGTTTCTTGAGCAGCAAGTCAGCATATTAGAATGATTTCTGAAGATCATGTGACACTGAAGACTGGAGTAATGATGCTGAAAATACAGCAATAGATTACTTTTTACAATATATTCACAGCTAATTTGAATTAGAATAATGTTTTGCTGTTTTTACAGCATTTCTGATCAAATAAAGCCAAAAAAAAATAAAAAATAAAATACCTTTTGATTTCTAACTTTTTTTCTCCAAATTGTGAGGGGAAAAAAAGTCAGAATTACAGTACGAGATATAAACTCTGAATTGGGAGGAAAATGTAAATTATGAGATATAAAATGAATTTCGAGGGAAATGTCAGAATTATGAGATATGAACTGCATTTCGAGGAGAAAAAAGTCAGAATTGAGATATAAACTCAGAATTGAGAGGAACAAGTCAGAATTGAGATATAAACTCAGTATTGAGAGGAAAAAGTCAGAATTGAGATATAAACTCAGAATTAAGAAGAAAAAGTCAGAATTGAGATATAAACTCAGAATTAAGAGGTAAGGTCAGAATTGTGAGATCTTCTTTCAAACACATACCATGAACAGTAGTGTATATATAACAGATTTGTCAGATTCTTTGGTCTAAATGTGTGTTTGTCTGGTTCTCTGTAGGTAAAGAGTTCCCCAACACCTTCGACTCGCTGGTGAAGAAAATCTGCAGGTATCTCTTCCACGTTCTGGCTCACATCTACTGGTCTCACTACAAGGAGACGGTGGCCATGGACCTGCACGGACACCTAAACACACTCTACACGCATTTCGTGGTTTTTATAAGGGAATTCAATCTGATGGACCCCAAGGAGACGTCGATAATGGACGATCTGACGGAGGCCCTGTGCACGCCGCTGCCTCCTCAGCCACAGAACCACGTGACGGAGAGATGAGTCTGGCGCCGCTGCGTCTCTGACCTGCCAAGCCAGGGTTCAGAAGGACTGCTGGGACTCACAGACCTTCTTCACCCTCCCAGAACATTGCTCTCTTTAGGACCCGGTTCGGAGTGCTCCGCCAGGCTCTCGCCGAATGACCTCAGAGGCAGCCGCCTAACCCTTAACCAAGAACAACCTGACCGTGCTTCGGTTTCCTTCCTGTTTTACGCTTTCCGTTTGATGCAGCAGTTTCCCCTCTGTTGGTTTGATAAGGGTGTTGGCCTGGTCCTCGTGTTTGGTATAAAGGTTTCTTTTCCATTTTTATAGGGTAAAAGGGGTGTGTGTGTGTGTGTGTGTGTTCAAGGCTTTTGCACTCAGGAACTGAGAGAGCTGTCAATGCTACCTGCTCCCCAATAAGCCTCTCGGTGTCACTTTACTCATCATATAGCAATCCCATCCTCCCTCTACTTATATGGGACAGACTTGTGTTGCATGTTGAGCACTGTAGAGGAGGCCCGAGGTGAACTGGGTTCACACCTTCTCCCTCGAGTGACAAAGACATTCGTGTTTGTCTGCTGTTGAATCCGAACGCTCTGGCTCTGGAAGCGTCTCGGGAATCATGTCTCTAGCCTCATTCTGAAAAGACGATTTGTGAATGGAAAAGAATGTACACTTAGTCTGTATGTATTGATTGCAAAGATTATTATCTTCGAGCAACGGATGTTTTAGTTCGCCCTTCATCACTGTTCAGAGAGTTTGTGTCGCGACGAGAAGATCGGACCTTTTCCTTTTATTTAATTTATTTCTCGGTTTCCTTTTTCTTTTCGTTTCGGTTTTAGCTGACGTTTTTCAGGGCTCCTCAGTTCTGGCTTTTGTTTTACGTATTTTAATAATACTTTAAGTTAAAGGCGATTTAATATTTTAAGCTCTGCAAATTATAACCTAATAAAATATTTGAAAGTCACAAATAATTGTACGCAGTGTCTTTTTTTTTTTTCCTGTGAAATCATGTCAAATCACACGTGCTGCAGTTAACCTTTACACACATGCTCTCCAAACTCCGCCCACAATTTACATGTCAGCCAATCGGGTTCCAGAAGTAAAAAATCCCATTATTTTTTACACAGAAGTGATTTTGAACAATAATTTGTAAATCTTTAATGACAGAACTGCTGCAAGCTATAAAGTTGTTAACTGATAGTGTATGTTTTTATATATATAATATTTTTTTCTTATATATTCTGATTTCATTTTAATTGTAGTTTTTTTTTTTGTCATTTTGTTATGCACTTTTGTCGTTTTTATTATTGTATTATTAATTATTATTATTACTATTTAGGCTTTATTTTCAGCTTTAGTTGTAATTTTTATTTATTTCCAGTTAGTAATTTTAGTACTTCAATTTAAATGTTTCATTTAGTTGCAACATTTCTCATTTTCATAGTTTATTTTATTTCAGAGTTTTAGTTAATGATAACGCTAATGGCGTGTTAGAAGCCATATGAAGCCGGTTTGCAGCAGAAGAGTGTGATGTTGATCTGATCTGATCTGAGCGCCAGATTATCGGTCATTTAAGCTCCGCCCTCATCCTTTCTCTCCCTCCATGCATTTTATCCGATAATGTCCCCAAATAATTAGGAAATAAATAATTTGAAAGACAAATAAATGTCTTATTTCTCTATGTACCCCAAAGTTAAAACATTATCCATAAGACGAATATATCAGTTACCTTTAAAAGTGTGATAGGAAGTTTACTTACAGTAAATATCGAATATAATGCTGCGCAAAAGTACATTTATAAGCATGATAGCGCTGATATGGAGGTATACAGTAGATATGACTTGACATGGAAACTCTGCCTCTTAGTGCTGAAATAATGCAAATGCACGAGCACTAAAAATATTGCAGAAGCAATTTTCACTCAGAAATTGCTAGTATTTTTATTCTATTTATTTATGTATTTATTTATTTATGTTTACAGTGAGGAAGAACTCCACTCTAGATTCTCAACAGTTTTTACCAGTTTTCATAATTTATTGAATATTTGAAACATTTATTTTGGTTGTTGATAAAAGTGTGTGGAACACAAGGCATCTCTTTTATTTATATTCGTCTTTAGTTGGGCATTAATTAGGTGCGCTTGTTAACTCCTTTTCTGGGGTTATTTGAAATCTCTTGTGATTAAAATACGATTAACTTTTTAAAAAACATATGTAGAGAAGAACACTTTTGGAGAATGCATCTGTTTTATATGTATGAAAATACTCCAATGATAATGAGGTCAGTCGGTGGTCGAAGGTTTCAGTCTTTAACACGCCCACCAAAAAACAACTTCAGCACTGCGGACAGCAACCGCCATCCAGGGCGGTGATTGGCCAACGAGGTGGAAGAGGGCGTGTTCAGAACGTAATGCGGCACTCCTATTGGCTCAAATCCGTGAGCGTGGTCACTGCCGTGTGGATATGCGGGGAATGTTGACTCGCACTCAATGAAGATTACAACACACTTTAGAAACAATCTGAAGAAACGAGCGTCTGTGCTGACTCTAGCTTGTGCTGGTGATTGCTCAGGAGTGAACGAGTGTTTAAGTATGCACTAGAAAGCCATGTTACTGTAGAGGCGCTCGGTGTGCAGAAGGTAAGGCGATTATTTTCCTCTCCATTGAGTCTGTTAATGCTCGAGCTTAGCTTGAGCTGCCCTGATGGATGAGTTTCATTTGCTCAGTGTTTGCAGTAAAGCTCCGAGAAACTAATAAATGCAGCATTAGGGATGTGAACAATAGTCCGAAGACGATCCGCGATGAAATACAGGTTAATAATGTGTCAATATACGAGACACGCACGCGCACACACACACACGCACTCACACACACACTCACACACACTCACACTCACACACACTCGCACTAACACGCACTCACACACTCACACGCACTCACACTCACACTCACACACGCACTCACACACACTCACACTCACACACACACACTCACACACACTCACACTCACACACACACACTCACACACACTCACACTCACACACACACTCACACTCACACACACACACACACTCACACTCACACACACACTCACACACACTCACACACACT